GGAGGGAGATGGAGGCAGGGAAAAGTCAATGTTTGTGCTGAACCGAACGGTCAGAGCAGGAGAGAGAACATCTCCCTGGGAGATGAGGAGCAGCCCCATTATGTGACTCTGTATTGATTTCTTCCCCCTTTGTTCCAGTTTGGCAAAGTGTGTGATGTTTTAGGAGGGAGCTTTATCAGCTCAACCTGCAGGTCAATTAACCAAACCCTCCCTGATGGAAGGAAAGTGCATTTGTGCTGTGCAGCTGCCAAGAGGGTTAAATGGGAGGGAAGACATTCAGAGGCTCAGATAAGACCCAGAAATTGAATCCCAGAATCCCAGAGTCTCTGAGGCTGGAAAAGCCCTCCCAGCCCGTGGAGGGGAGGGGGACACCTTCCACCAGCCCAGGTTGCTCCAAGCCCTGTCCAACCTGGCCTGGGACACTTCCAGGGATCCAGGGGCAGCCACCACCTGTTCTGAACCACTTGAGAGAATGAGGGAAATTTGTAATTATTGATCAAGGCTGAATTTTAGGGTGGCTTTTAATCATCATAGTATCACAGAATCATTTAGGTTGGAAAATACCTCTGAGATCACTGAGCCCAATCATCTCAGAAAAGTCTGGGGTTCAAAGGAGCTTTGAGATCACCCAGTTCCATCCCACCTGCCCCAAACCCATCTCTATATATGAGATTAAAAGAAATATTTAGCAAAGCAATTTCCTCCCAGCACTTTCATAACTCTCTTTTTGCTGTTTCTGCCAGAGACTTCTGTAAATTCGTGGTTTGAGTCAAACCCTCGAAGAATTTGCCCTGTCAGAGGACAAACATCCCTGTTTTGTTCAGGCAGCCCCTGTACTCACCCGGGTGACAGCAGAGGATGTGGGGAGGGCAGCAGGACCTGCCCTGGCTGCTCACAGAGCTCAGAGGGCTGGGGAGCTGCATTGAACCAGCCCCAAAGCCCACGGGGCTCCCTCAGGGACCCCCCAGCTCCTGCCTCTGCTCCTCAGGGCCTGTGAGCACCAGGGGAATGAGTGCAAGGGGTCCTTGTCTGCTCTGAAAAAATGGCCAAGGGCAGAAGAGGGAGGGGAGGGAGATTTGGGGGCCTGGCTGGAGGAAAAATAATGGCAAAAAATGGCTACTGAGAAAAATCCTCAGTTTTTCCCTGCTCTGGGAAACTCTGACAACAAGCACTGGGGCTGCAAGGAAGGGCTGCAATCGAGGGCTGCCCCAGCTCAGCAGTTGGAGGTTTCCTGGGTGCACTCAGAGCCCACCAGGAGCTGACACTTAAACTGGGACCTGCTCCTGTCCTTGCTGTGCATTCCAGGACATGGCAGCGTCCCCAGTGCCCCCTGAGCAGCAGTCAGACAGACAGACAGACAGCACCAAACACTCAGCTACAACTGACTTTCCCACTGTGTCACCTTTTTCTTGCATTTAAGCACCACCTATAAATTAGAAAATAATTTTTCTGGAAGGAGCAGATCAACAACTCTTGGTGGAAGCAGAAAGTTCTGGCACAAACCCAATTAAGGGCTTCGTTTCCTGAATTAGGAACAAATTAACTCATCACCCACACGGCAAAATCACATTTGCAAAGGGCAGCTCGAGGTGTTTGTGGGGAGGGGTTTGGGGGCAGGTTTGGGCAGGGGAGGGAGCCCTGGGGCTGCCCAGAGCCAGCCACAGGTGATCAGTCAGATCAGGAACAGACCCGTCATAAAATCATGGAATCATGGAATCATGGAATCACAGAAGGGTTTGAGTGGGAAGGGGCCTTGAAGCTCATCTAATTCCCACCCCCTGCCACGGGCAGGGACACCTTCCACCAGCCCAGGGTGCTCCAAGCCCCGTCCAACCTGGCCTGGGACACTTCCAGGGATCCAGGGGAATTGTGGTGTCTTTGTGAAAACATGTTTATAAAGGGGAGAAAATGTCAAACCTTGAGAGGAGTGAACATCAAGAGTGAGAAACAGCACGAGGAGCAGCAAGGTCAGGGCAGGAGGAGAACCCACCCCTGAGCAGGTGCTGCCCCAAGGGAATGAATCCTTTCTGAATTTCACTGTCCAGTTTGTCCCTTCATCTCTCAGCACTGCAAAGTTCTCCTTCATCTCCACTGCTCTGAGCCTGGGGGGGGGGTCATAAAAAGCTTCAAAACAACCCAATTCCCTCCTTTCCTGTATGTGCCGAGCTCAGTTCCTGCTCAGCCAGTTTGGCAACCTCCCAGAGGTGTGAAAAATGACTATTTATGCTATTTATTTTTATATATTTAGATATATTTATATTTTTTATATATTTAAATATCACATTTCTATTTTTTTCCTTCTCCTTGGCTGTGGGCCCTGGGCTGGAGGAAGAGTTGCTGGGGACCCCTGGGGGAACCCACAGAGACCCCACAAGACCCTGTGACCCTGAGGGCAGCGTGGGCCAGGAGCTCCCTGGATGTGGGGGATCCTTCCCAGATCAGGGGTGCAGGAAAACAGACCTGCTCCTGTGCCACATCAGTTCTTTGGACACAGTGAAGAGGAACCACCTTTTGTATCGGTCCAGAGTCATAAATATTCCAGCTCTGCAGCAAAACACCTTTCTTGTCCTGAGCCTTGCAGGAAATAAAGGAAGCAGGCTCATTAAATCACTGGAAATATCGTGGATTTCATTATCTTTTTTGTGCTGTATTTGCAGCACTGTCCTGGGAGGCAGCTCTGCAGCAGCCCCTCACATCAATGACTAATTCAGGCAGCAGAAATCACATCTGAGTTATAAACAGGAGGGCAAAGGCAACCAAAGAGACAGACAAAAAATTGTTGTTCACATGTCTGTGCTCCTCCCCATGACCTGGGAGCTGCTCCCCCACGGAATCCCTGGATCACTGGGCTTGGAAGAGCCCTCCCAGCAACATGATGGGAACAATTTTCATGTGCAGTTCATAGAGTTCCAGACTGGTTTGGGTTGGAAGGGACCTCAAAGCCCATCCAGTGCCACCCCTGCCATGGGCAGGGACACCTTCCACCAGCCCAGGTTGCTCCAAGCCCCGTCCAACCTGGCCTGGGACACTTCCAGGGATCCAGGGGCAGCCACAGCTTCTCTGGGCAACCTGGGCCAGGGCCTGCCCACCCTCCCAGCCAGGAATTCCTTCCCAATATCCCATCTATCCATGCCCTCTGGCACTGGGAAGCCATTCCCTGTGTCCTGTCCCTCCATCCCTTGTCCCTCTCCAGCTCTCCTGGAGCCCCTTTGGGTCCTGGAAGGGGCTCTCAGGTCTCCCTGGAGCCTTCTCTTCTCCAGGTGAACCCCCCCAGCTCTCCCAGCCTGTCCCAGAGCAGAGGGGCTCCAGCCCTGGGAGCATCTCCGTGGCCTCCTCTGGCCTCGCTCCAACAGCTCAGAGATAAAACATCCCCCTCTGTGGAATGTGTTTGGCACTCTGGGTGCTGGGACAGACACCAGCCCTGCCATGGGAGAAGTGCTTTTGTTGTTTACTGTTTCTATTCCTGGCTTTTCCCAGGCAGCAGCTTCTCCTCCGTGGGGATTCAGCCCCTCCAGTCCCAGATTGGGGCAATCAGGTTCCTTAAGGCACATAAATATTTCCCTGCAGGTCCTTTTGGTGGGTTGAGGAGCTGCTTGTGGGACAGGATCAGGTGCTGCAGGTCCGGGCAGGGCCAGGCCAAGCCTCCAGCTGAGCTGGGCAGGGACAGTTCTACATTTAACCTGGTCTTGGGCCAGTATTTTTGAAGATAGTGCCAAGCTCTGAGCCAAGTTCAAGTTTTAGCCAAATCAAGGTGGAATGTGAAAGAATCTACCCAGAAAAGCTGCTGTGCAGCATTGCTGACACATCTAAGTGGGCTTTGTCTCTGGTGGAGTTAATGAGCTGCTCCAGCAGTTCCAGACATCCCAGATTTAGTGAATATTGTGGTCAAGATCTGCCAGTCACACACCTGCAACCTCCACTGGCTTCCTCATTCAGGTTAATTACAGCAGGGCTAATTATCTCAGACACGGGGTGACATCTGCCAGCCCTGGCACTGGAGGAGCTGCAGCTCCCTGCTCACAGCTCCAGCCCCTTTGTGCCTGTGCATGGAGAGGATGCAGACAGCACCAGGAAGGTAAGGATTGGTTCCTCTCCTCTCTGGAGGAACTTCTTGTGAACGAAGAAAAAAAAATAGACCAGTGTTTTCCAAACTTAATGGGAAAATTTATGGTCCTTTCAGCACCTGAAAGACATTTAAACGAGGAAACAATGGTCTGTAATTAGATAATCTACACTGGGTGACATTTTCTGGCAGGTGTTTAGGTATGACTTGAACACTGTTTACAGAAGCAGCACCACCTCAGGAGTCAGGGAATATTCAGTTTACGAATTACTGAACTGGGTAATTGCACAAAGTAAAACTCTGTGAGCCTCTCACGCCAACCAAGCACAGAGGGAACACTCAGCAGTGTGTCAGGATCCCACCTGAGCAGCACCAGCTGGAATGTGCTGTTCCACCCCTGTGCTCACAGGTACACCCCAAAAATAGCCAAAATAGCACAGGCCAGGTTGGCTGGGGCTTGGAGCAACCTGGGCTGGTGGGAGGTGTCCCTGCCCGTGGCAGGGGGTGGGATAAGATGATCCTTAAAATCCCTTCCAAGCCAAACCTTCTGTGATTCCATAAGGAAACGGGACTGGAGCAGCCCTGTGAACCAGGAGGACCCAGTGAAAGCTGAGCCTGATTATTTAATAACCTGGAGAGCTTTGCCACCAGGATGAAGTGCAGGTCCCACTGCCCAGAGCAGGATCTGGGGAACAGATGCCTCAGGCAGGGAGGAGGGAGGGAGGAGCTGCTCCTTCCCAAGCACAGGCTCACAGGATCTCAGACAAATGACTCTGGGCAGAAATGTTTGCTGCTGGAGGGGGTTC